ACCATCGGCTCCATCCTCAGCAAGACGTACTACAACGTCGACAGCCACCAGCCCGAGAGCCTCGACTGGTTCAACGTGCTCATCGCCCAGACGATTGCCCAGTTCCGCAGCGACGCCCAGCACGATGACGCCATCCTAAACTCCCTCACCAAGACGCTCAACGGCGACTCCCGCCCCGACTTTGTCGACGAGATCCGCGTCACCGAGCTCAGCCTCGGCGAGGAGTTCCCCATCCTCAGCAACTGCCGCATCATCCCCGTCGACGAGGATGGCATCAGCCTCGGCAGCCACGTCAAGTTTGATCCCGCCACCGCCGCCCGCGACGGCACCCGCCTCCAGGCCCGCATGGACGTCGACCTCAGCGACATGCTCACCCTGGCCGTCGAGACCAAGCTCCTCCTCAACTACCCCAAGAAGCTGTCCGCCGTCCTCCCCGTGGCGCTGTCCGTCTCGGTGGTGCGCTTCAGCGGCACGCTGTCCATATCCTTCATCCCAAGCAACCCTTCTCAGTCCACGCCGACCATGATGGCGTTCAACTTCCTCGACGACTACCGGCTGGATTTTTCCATCAGGAGCCTGCTCGGCAGTCGCTCACGCCTCCAAGACGTGCCCAAGATTGCGCAGCTGATCGAGTCACGGCTGCATAGGTGGTTCGACGAGCGGGCAGTCGAGCCGCGGTTTCAGCAGATTGCGCTGCCAAGCCTGTGGCCCCGGAAAAAGAACACCAGGGGCCCCGACGATGCCATGGCAGAAGGCGGCGCAAGCTCTTCTGGTCTCGCAAAGGGCAAGGAGAGAGATTCTTCAGTCGGGGCTGATGGCCGGGAACAGGCTACTCTGCGGCACCGTCGGCCATTGGGCGACGATGAGTACACCAAAGAAGGGTCTCTTCGCAGCCTTAGCAGAGATACGAGGATCTAAGTGTACGAGTGTTCTTTTCCTTTTTCTTGAGGCAGAGATGCGACTGGCGGAGGGAGCTTGATAGCAAGGATTGCGAGACATAGAAGGCCAACATTGAAATCCCACCATAACGCTGCTAGAATTGCAGCCTCGATTAGGAGTCATGATATGATTATGGAAAAGACATCACACAGGAGTATATGGACTGTCTCTTTTTTTTTTTTTTTTTTTTTCCTGTTTTT